TGCTGCTCCAGCTCCAACTGCTGCTGATGCTACCACGTGCTACTGCAACTCCTCCTGCTGCTGCTGCTGCTACTACCACCACTACCACTACCACTACCACTACCACTACCACTACCACTACCACTACCACTGCTGCTGCTGCCCCCTCTGTGGAAAATCTCGTGTCTCATAGAGGTGGTTGCGCTGCACCCAGCACACCCGGACACCTCCTTCTCAGACACCGGGCAGCAAATGGGGGGCTGGTCAAAATGAGGGTAACTCGGGTTCCCCTCACCATTGACAGAGCCATTGTACTACATCCCCCACTATTGGGTTACCAAGGACAATCCGTACTGTACAAAAGACCAAGCTCGAATGTAGCCGAACGTCGGAAGAAGCCTTTCCAGCACGTACAAGCAAAGCAAAATCTCCGAGTTCCCGGATGTCACATTCCCCAACACTTCATTTGACTTTCGATTTCTGCGGGTGGCGGGCAGTCTTTAGAACAGGGCTGCTGGGTCCTGAGTGCGCTTGTCGGAGTCGTAATGGAGCGGGTGTGTCCGGTGGAGTTCAAGGATTTGGGCCTGCATGGGTTCAGAATTTGGGGTTCGGGGTTCTAGGATTCAGGTCGAACAAATCTGGTTCCGATAGAGTTTGGATCGGAGCTTCGGTTGGCCGAACACCACATCAGCTATTGCAATGGCTTGCTATGACGACTGTTTGATTCCTGAACTGATATTGTTGTCAGTAAATTTCTAAGACCATGATCAGTGTTCCGATGATAATGGGACCGGATTGCTGTGATGAAGCAAGGTTTACAGCAGCCGCTGTGGGCAGAGCTACTTCTGGCATATGGCAGAGCAGTTGGGCTTGGATGCACGGCACGAAAGCTGTACGGTGTGAGCTGAGAAAATAGGTTCCGTAAAGAGGTTTATAAAACTAAAGATCATTGCAAGCAGGCGTGGTTTTCAGAGTGTTTGAGATTTCACGTGGGCGATCTGAGTTGTGACCTTGCAGTCGATGTCTCAACAAGTCTGGGACCTTTGGAGAAGTACTCCGTTGCAAAGGAACTGTAGCCTGTGTACACGAGAGCCACATACCAAGATGCGTTTCATGTCCCCCGTCGGCACCGGGTTTTGGCAAGCTACAAAACCCCCTGAGATGCAAGTTGCAATCTGAGTCCTCTGCCTTCAGTTTAATTAGTAGCTTGCATCGCACATTGAATCTGGGCTTCTCCTCAGCTTTCTCCTGATTTTTACGAACATCCAGCACAGCCCTTGTCTGCAGAGCAAGGAGTACCGCGGCTTCCTTTGCGCCGACATGACCGTCAGCGACGGTGGAACAGTGGATGTGGAGGACTCATCAGATCAGATGGGGTGGTGCTTCCGCGAACAGAGCTCTGCTGGAAGACTCTGTGCCGCGACAGCTCGGAATCGCAAGGCTGCGCTGCTTACATCATTAAGCTTCATCGTTCTGCATCATGCACCTGCTTTAGCACATGACATGTTCCCAGCCGACTTGCTTACACCCCCACCTGCTCTGATTAACTTTGGCCCACTCAACCCTGGAAAGCTCAAGCACCGTAAGCCCAAGCCCACGGCGCTTTAAATCCCCACGTTCCAACCTCAAACAGATCCCTCAAGCTTCAGACCTCAATGTGATTCGGGCTTTCCCAAAAAGACATGGTCCATGGCTCTTGGGTGTCAAGCCATCATGAGACTAGAACCCCCATGTGCTGTGCTGAAAGGACTTTGCCAGCTTCTTGCGAGCAGAAGTCGCAACGTACATGCTTCGAGAAAAAGCAGACCTGTTTGATTGGGCTCACGTGCTGAAGGTCTGCATGCTCCAGGAGGCAGTCAGTGTACAGGGAATCATGTTTCGGACGTTGCCACCTAGGCTTGACTGGCAGAACGGGGCCCTGCAGCAAATAGCTCCCAGGTTGTCTCTTTCGTCTCCTGGAGGTCGTATCGATGATAGTAGAGCCCCTAACCCCCGAACCCACTAGACTTGGCTGTCGGCTCTCTACTCAAACTTCATTAGCACTGATGTAAAAAAAAAAACCCAACTCATTGCTCTAAGCCGCGATGACCTCAGCGAGAAATAGAAATAGATTGTGGTGCAAGCCCTAAGACCATCCTAAGCCCTAAACCCAACCCCAAAACCTTAAGCCCCTAAACCCTAAACCCCAAACCAAAACCTTAAACCCCTAAACCCCAAACCCAAAACCTTAAACCCCTAAACCCCAAACCCGAAACCTTAAACCCCTGAACCCTAAACCCCAAACCTGAAGCCCCTAAACCCTAAACCCCAAACTCTGAGACCAAGACCCCTCAGCCCTAAGCCCTAAACTGCGTTCGACTCCAAGCTTCAACTGCGAGAATCTGATGGCCTGAAGTCGGTTTAGGGTTTAGGGTTTCCGGTTTAGGGTTTAGGTTTAGGGTTTGGGGTTTAGGGTTTAGGGTTTAGGGCTTGCAGAGGTTTATGGTTCAGGATTTTGGGGGTTTAGGGGTTCAGGGGTTTAGGGGTTTGGGGGTTTAGGGTTTGGGGTTTTCCTGACAACCTGAGACCCGGAACCCTTCAAAACCCGAAGTAGCCTCGACGATAGATCCTAAATCTCCCAACCCTAAAGTCCTTAGACCCTCTTGATCCTACATCCCCCAAACCCCCAATTCCTTAGACCCTGGATCCCGAATCCCCCCAACTCCTAAAGTCCTTAGACCCTCTTGATCCTACATCCCCCAAACCCTGAATTCCGTAGACCCATAAAATCCCCCAAACAAACCCTAAACCCAAAACCCTCAACTCCTTAGACCCATAAGATCCCCCAAACCCTAAATTCCCTAGACCCTATCGATCCTACGTCCCCCCAAACCCTCAACTCCTTAGACCCATAAGATCCCCCAAACCCTAAGTTCCTGAGTCGACTCTCCTGTTTCTCCGCCGCCGTCTGAGCTGGGCCTTTGGCTGTTTAGACGTTGGAGTCAGATTGAATCTCCGGAGTTACACTTTAGGGCTTTCGCGTTGGTAGACATAGGCTAGAGTTAGAGCTTAGTGCTGAGGATGTAAACTCTCCGGGTTTGTAACGGGTTTGTATCTCGAACCGCTGTCTTGCCATGGGCTGCGGTGCCAGCGCCGAGGGCGATGCCCCAATGCCAAAACAGTGCAAGCGACCAGGCACTGCTGCATATGAAGCTGGGGTTTACATAGCTCCAAGAATTGGGGGTCGTGGTGCTTGGGGCTTGGATATCCACCAGGCACCTCAAGGGGCAGGCCCTGGGGTGTAACCTGCGCCTATGTCGCAACGTGGAGCTTAGGGTTTGTCGTTGCACCAAGATTTGGGCAGGGCCAAACGAACCGCCTACAGTTCATCTCGACTGAGCTCTATACGCAGTGAATACGCCTTATGCCGCATTGGTTCTGGAGAATGCAGACGAAGAGCTTTCAGAAGGAGTTTCCAGATGGCTCAACCTTTGTCAAGCTTCGGGGGGGCTCGTCCGGATTGGGGCGTGCTTGTTGACACGCGATGTCGCAAGGAAAAAGCACCAGAGTGCAGACCCTGAAGCACTGAAGCACTACGTAGACCCGCCAAGAGTGGAACCAGGGACCGGAAACCCTCAGAGAATGGACCATAAACCCGACCCCAACGAATTGACCACAATGGGGACCCACAAAGGATTACAATAGACCCGGACTTGGAACATCCTAGGGGAGCCGGGCTGCCATCCATGGAAAGCACCGCAGCAAGCAAACCTCAAAAGTGGGCGTGCAAGGGGCATGAAGGGGCCTGAACTCGTATACGTCAAAGGGAGGGAGGGAGAGCGAGAGACAGAGAGAGAATGAGAGCGAGAGCGAGAGAGAGAGAGAGAGGGAGCAGGAGACATCGGCTTGCATGTGCTTGCTGTCTACAGTTTTTTTTGCGCATGCATTCAATATTCGTGTTTGTTGTGTCCGTCATTGTTATGCACAACATACATACATACATACATACATACATACATACCTACCTACCTACCTACCTACCTACCTACCTACCTACCTACCTACATCCATGCATGCATGCATGCATGCATACATACATACATACATACATACATACATATATATATATATATGTATGCATGCATGCACACAGACATGCATACAGACATGCATGCGTGCATGCATACAGGCAGACAGGCAGACAGACCGACAGACAGACAGATAGACAGACCTGATGCCGTACAACCATACAGCCATACATGCGTACATGCTTGCATGCAGTGTTCTGGTCAGGTGCAGATGTATATATATATATATACACACACATGCACACACGCTTGTGTAAACTGTATGTGTGTGCATGTATGTGTGCGTATACAAGAAACACACATACATGCGCCGGAGCTGTCCACTTGCTTCTCCCGCCAGGTCTCGATCCCCAGGAAGAAGCCAAGGCCAAGGAGGAGGAAGCCGCGGCTGCGGAAGAGTGGACCTATGTCTATCCCAAGGTCCTCGGGTGCTGATACTTAAGGTGGGTATTCGGGGTTCAGGGTTTTTGGTCAGAGTTCTCGAGGTCGGAGGGTTTGAGGGAGTGAGACTTCGGTCTTGTCGGGTTCAGAAGCAGCAGTTGCTGTGGCCGTCGAGTCTGGTTGAATGCAAGTCAGTCGGTCAGTTTTCGTGGGATGTTGATGCGAGGGTTGTTTTAGGAATTAGCTTTGGGAACAGCACGTTTGTGCTTGACACCCGCGTCACGCTCGTAAACCATGCTTAAGTCTTACACCTCCTACACCACGGAAGTCCGCGCATGTGGGGTCTTTTGCATTCAGTGTCTTACTTGCAGCTCCGCTCGACGCAGTTCCGCCGCACTGGAAATAAAAGAAATACTTCAAGGTGCTTGTACTGCTATGTGTCAGGACGACGACTAGGACAACGATGAACGACGACGACGAACTGTCAAAAGACGGCAGGGACGAAGATGACGAGCACCGCGATCTCTCTCGGTCTCACTCACTCTCTCTCTCTCTCTCTCTGTCTCTCTCTGCTGCTCCTGCCTTCCCTCTTCTTACGGAACCTGCTGCTGCTATCCCTACACCTCTACTGATCCTGCTACTGCTACTTCTTGATACTCTCCCTCCTCGTTCTCTCTTGCATCGACCCTATAGTTTCGGAGTTCTGCACTGCGGAGACCTTCATCTGGAAGTGTGCTCTCCGAGCCAGGAGGAGGTGCTTCCCGAGGACTCCGGCAACGAAGAGGCGGAGAGCAAGGCCGGGGGAGGAGTGGCCGATAGTACACTCAAGCGTGTAAACTTGTGCTAACTTACATTGCACGATGTTGAACACATAAACGTGTGTATGTATTTATATATGTGTATACATATGTATGTGTATGTATATATAGATATATACATGTATATATATATATATATATATCATTCGCCACATGCTGCTGTACTGTTGCATCATGTCATGCAGGGCTTAGGTTTCACTTTAAGCGATATTGGGGTCACAGTAATTACCTATACTATTTTGGGGGCTCCCAATCATCAATATACTATAATGGAGCCCACAACCCTATTCTAATTATTAGGGCCCCTCTAGTAAGTACCTATAGTCTCCATTGTCATTCCTTTCTGGGGATCCCTTATAGGATCCTAAATGGACACTATAATTACGTATGTTCAGGTTCGAGACCCATCCAGAAAAGCCGGCAACGACTGATGTTCTCCGCGATTCGCCACGTGTAAATAAAACGGCCAACCCGTTCTTAAATCCTAAGACACCCAATGCCCCCATCCTCAGCCCCCTAAACTAAGATATAAAAACGCAGGGCAACCAGCATAGCAAGCGTAGCAGAACAAGGAGTGTAATCACAAAGGGAAATTGAAATACAGCCATCCGATCTACAAGCGAGATGGTAAGAAAGCTCGTACAACAACCAACAACACAGTAGAGGCAGCAAAACCTGGTTCTGTTCCTAGCCATCGACATCAAGCCTTAAACCCCAACCGGCCCCATTGGTTTAGGGCATCCCAAACAGTAAACTTTCGCATGAGGCCAAGCAGGTGGAGGAGAACACCGACCCCGTAGTGAGGCGGGGCGTGGGTTCGGAGTTTGTCTGGCGGCTTCGGCACTGCAGTGGGGCTAGGAGGAGAAGAAGTATTTGCGAGTCTTTGGCTTGCAGGATAGTTTGAGCATCCACGAGGTATGTATCATATACAGTTCGTAACCTAAATAAAAGTTAAAGCAATGTAATGGTAGTAATAATTAAGCGTCATCGTAGTAGTAAAGTAGTAATACTAATGAGCCAAAGAAGTGATCACCAATGCTCTGAGGCCGCCACACTTCGGTAAAAGTCCGAATCAGCTGCCGATGGCAGCCCTTACAATCAGGGTTCAGGGGAGTTTAGGGTTTAGGGATTTTATGGTTTGGGGGTTTTAGGGTTTAGGGGGTTTTAGGGTTTAGGGGGTTTCGGGTTTAGGGTTTAGGGAGTTTAGGGTTTACAGGGTTTAGCGGGGGACCGCATCCCCAGGCCCAAACTCTTCCAAAGGCCATCTTCCACCGAGGGCACTGAGTCTCAGGATGTTCCCAGAAACCCCTGGGCAGGTCCTGGATCGAACGCGCGAAGGCGGAAGGGGTATGTTTTCAATCTGCAGAAGGCTTTGGGCTTGGGATTCGCAAGGATGTGGGGTTTTGTGGGTTTAGATGCTGGTTCAGGGGAGTGCTTGGGACCTTGAACCACACTGCGGTAGCTGCTACATGTACAGTGTGGATTTTCGAATACTGTGCATACGAGACGCCTTTGCGCCCCCGCGCCAGGCTTTTGCCGATGTGGATCGAGAGGGAGAGGCTCCGAAGTTAGAGCTTAGCCCTGGGATTGTACCGGACGTGAAACGGTTGCCGCACGTGAGCAAGGATAAGATTCTTTGGTGGAGTTTGGCAACAACTAAGAACGTTACTTAGCATGCAGGTCTCGACCTCTTGGCCTCAGTTCGGACATCAAGCATTTGGAAGGTATGGTTGGTGTCTCATGTGGAAAATCACAAAAACAGGCGATGAGACAGAGGCCGAGTTATTTTTTCCAGTCACCTGGTGATGATTGGGATCCCTGCTGCTATCACCGTCGGAATCATGTCTGCCTCAGGTAGACTGGGCCCCGTAGGAAGCCTCTTGATCATGGGGGTAGTTCTCTAAATTAGGCTCCGTTTTGGGGTGCTGTTGATAAGGTTGCCATATTGTTTTGGGGACCGAAAACGGGAGATCCTAATTTAGAGAACTGCCCCATGAGCTTCTGGATGTAAGGTTGGATTCTTGAAGCTGGCCTTCGGCACTAGATTCTCAGAACAACCGGAATCGGAGCATCGCAAACCCTGAACCCTAAACCCTGAACCCTTAAACGCTAAACCCTAGACCCCAAACCCTGAACCTTCAAGACTTGGGGAGGAGCAGTGGGACGAAGGTCTGGTCGAGGCACGCCAGCTGCTGGGTAACTTGGCCTAGGATCTACTTTTCGGGTTTAGGGTTTAGGGTTTCGGGTTTTGGGGTTTCGGGTTGAAGGATTTAAGGTTTTCGGGCTTAGAGTTTATAGGGTTGAGGATGACAACCAGGATCGCGGTAGTAATGGCCACAGCAATCAGAACCAGGGCCATGATGATGACCGTGGCATTGCCGGCTTAATGCTGGTCATCATCATCACCGACACTCACCAAAGACGTGTTGCTAAGCCAAGGTGAGCTCGAGCTCATTCCAAAAGAAGCCAGGACATCTGGAATTGCAGGGCTCGTGCCTTGTCACTTCTGAGCCTCAGGCAGCCTTTGTTCTGATGGCAGTTGTGTGAGAGCATCGCCGGGGCACCGGTGTTCATCTTCTTTGACACAACTGCCTGTTCATGCGATACTGTGTACATGCACATTATGTAGGTAATCTGATGCTCCTGCCTGGATCCGCAGCGGCAGACAGAGTCTCAAGTGTTCCCAAGCCGCTCTGAAGGACCAAAGAGCTCGATGATACGGTCTGGGGCGTGACAATGCCATACTGCGCATGGGTGATGGGAGTCTTTGTCGCACTCGCAGGTGCCCTATTGTTCAGCCAAAGTCGACTTAGGAGTCGACTTGCTTTGCTGCTTCCATTACTTGGGCCCTTGTGTGTCTCCGTCCCTTTGCCCGGCGCCCTGTGCACCTAATCGGACTGCAAGGAAAGTGGGGCGTGACAGTTCACACTCCGAAAGAAGTGCTTTGGGACATTGCTCGCGCAGACCCGCTCTTCGCGAAGTTGGCAAAGATTGATCCGCATCCGGGCTGACAGCGGAGAAGTTGGTGTTTAGGGTTTAGGGATAGGGTAGGTGAGACTTTTCCTTAAGTTGATGATCGTGCAGTTCTTCTGTTCTTGTAGGTATCTGGTCATGTAAATGTCAGTCTGTACAGCTGCCTATCTACAGCACTACCTATGCATGTCAGTACACATGTTCGTTGTGTTAATCAGCTTTGCTTCGGCTCTGCCTCTGACTCAGGCACTCTCATCTGACTGTAAACCTTGAACCCTAAATCCTAAACCCCGAAGCCCTAATCCCTAAACGTCTAGACTCTAGACCAGATCCGAGCAGGAAGTCCCATGTTCTTGCCTCAAGCTGCCTTATCTCTGTTAAAACCCCGTTGTTACTGCATAAAATGTGTAGACTCCGATATGAGAAATAAATCTTCAACTTGTTGACATGAAGGAAAGAGGCCTACAAGAAGAAGGTGCCTAAGTCGGTCGGCTACCGCCACGCCGCTGCACCTCCGCTTGACTTATGGGGTAATGCTTGTTTGCTTTCTTGGCGTTTCGAGTTTCGAGGGTGCTCTGTGTTTTCCCGACTGGAGAAGTTGGCATTTGTGAACTATATGAGCCCTCGAACCATGCAACGCAGATCATTTCACGCCTGCACGCGGCTTCATGGAGCGATGTGCCGATTAATCACGAGGGGCGGAAGGCTCCGAATTTCTGCAGACCTTTGGGAGCGTCGTTGCTCCCTTCGATGTTGGTGTGGGAAGGGTCGGCTTTGTGGCACGTGTCCAAAGACCCTTTGGCACTGCCGGGCTGTACTCACTGCAGTTTGTTGTTGGTTGTTGTGGTGATGCACAAATACCATTCTTGTTGCCAGTGCGACGATGATTGCTGCTACAGCTAGTTGCTGTACAGTTAGTCATTCAGACCGGAATCCGAAGCTTCAGTTCATGGACGAGCGGAAGACAGAGGACGAGGCCAGTGCCGAGGACCATCGACTTCAAGAGCAAGGGGATGCAGTTTAGCGGTCAGGCTTTGAGAGCAGACAACGGGCCACGCCAACATTTATGCCGGCACTCCGCTGTCGCAACATAGAAAGAGAGTCTTCGAACTGCAGTCAGGCTGGCGAGCTATCAGCCATACTTGCCCAAGCATTTTGCTGACATCTCGCTACGAGCATTGAGAAACCTTCTCTGTTCAACCTTCGTAACCTTCACATGCGGCCGTGGTTACCTTGAGGACACGAGGTTTTTTCTTCGTGCAAGTGCATCAAAGCAATGTGCAAGCCCAAGCCCTCAACCGTCGGTTTGTTTGTCGGCCCTAAACCCTAAACCCTAAACGCTAAACCCTAACCCTAAACCGGAGGAATGCCAAGAGGTGCTCGAGCTGGGGGATAAGGTGCCTTGGTGGGGAATCAAGGGAGTCGCTGCCTTCAGTGCTGTACTTTTTCGCGGGCTAGGTCCAGCTGGGTCTTCTCCTCTTTAGGTTTGTGACTCGTGGCTTTAGAAGTACACAACCAGTATGCTTGATTCCAGAATTCGGTCTTTGCCAATTTTCTCTGCACAACATGCACCGGCCGAGGACAATGTGACCCTCGGTTAGCAGGTTGCATGCGGGATTCACTGGATCATTTGAGCACCACCTTTTGGGCACGCTGGCTTCGACAGGAGCATGTCGGCAGAACTTTACGGACTTAACACCCGAGCCCAGAAATGCCGGTTTGCCGGCCTTTGTGCAACCCTAACCCTAAACCCTGAACCCTGAACCCTAAACCCTAGAAGAATCTGGTGCTTTGGTTTAGCAGTGGACTCCCTTGTCCGGCTTTGATGCTCCGGGCTTCCCAGGGCCAGGTGCGTAAACCCATCTATCTCCCTCGTCTCCATGCCTGTGAACATATTGACACATGTATAAGTATACGTGACTGCATGGGTATATAAACGTGTGTGTATGCATGTGTATATGGAGGCAGTGGTACATCTAAGGTTGCTGATTTCTTGAAGCTGAGCTTTCTGCGTACTTTCACTTATTCCTTTGCTTGTTTAGTCACGAGGCTTCAGTTGCTTAAATGTGCAATGCTCTGTGGCCTTGTTGCTGATGTCCACGGACGAAAGGAAGCGAACCAATGAACCTTTCCGACTACTCTGCGACTGCACCCATGGGTCTGAATAATTATTATCAACAACATAACTTAGAATCGTTATATCACTCTAGTGTAGTACAATATACTATGAACATTGCCCTCAAAACCAGGTGCAAGCCCTTAGGGGCATGTTCAAAGCATACTTTCCAATTGGAGGTCGACTCTTCAAAGAAGATCTTTGGCCGATGCTGGGCACAGCGATGGCCTAGTTCTATGGGTTTGAGGTTTAGGGCTTAGGGTTACAGGTTTAGAAATAGAGTTTATTCTTGTTCGGGCCCAGGTCGAAAGCAGCAAAAGTGAGTACCGACAGTGAAAATGCTAACGTCACGAGGCAGAGCTCCGGTGCTTTCGCTTCGGTGATCGTGGACCGGCGGCAGTGACAGCCACGATGACAAAAACAAGGGTATCAAAAGTTGCGACATTTCCGGCTGTGACGACAGCACCTGGCAACACTACGTCGACCAACACTGACAGCAGGAATGAGGCCACCACCACCAGCGCCACATCCACCCAAAAGTCCACTGTGCAGGAGTAGCTTTTCTGTCCAGTCTTCGTGTGATTGCAGGGATGAGTCTGTCTACGTAGAGACCCTAGGAGAATATCACGGCCAAAAAGTCGACACCTACTTGAATGGACCGGCGACTCGGCATCCTTGGTGTCACGGGAGCAGCAGTTTGGGTTTAGGGTTCAGGGTT